TATATAATGATGTATTCTGAGTGCGTGATATGTGTTATACACATACCTCTGTATACATACACACACATACATGCATACATGCCTGCATACATACATACGTACATAAACACATACGTACATGAGCACATACACATTTTGTGTCTATATATTCATGTACACTGCATGTAGAAATATGCAGTCTGCATTTTTGTATACAATATGTCTATCTGTATCTGTATATGTCATATGTCATACACGTATGCTTGTGTGCGCATCTGTGTACTACACCTGTCTCTGCCATTCTGAAACTACAAGTGGCCAAGAACATCCCCGCAACTGCCCGCAGAGCTGAGACGAGGCCGGGCCACTGGGCCACCCTGATCATGCCAAGCCCTGCCCCCTTCGCGCCCTCCTAACCCCTAAGCCCTAAACCTTGAACCAGCCTCCGCACCCGCTGGCAGGTACAAGTCTGGCACTCCACCCTGATCGTGAAGCCCCATTGCCTCCATGGCCTCGAGTGTACTTGCTGTTCTGAGCAAGTGCTGGTAGTGACAGCTGTTGCTGCTGTTGAGCCCTCGCAACGAACGTTGACTCTATCGAGTAGTACGAAACCTGCTGTAGGCCTGCCACCATTTCTGTGACAACATACGTCCTAGTATGCTGACCGTAATGCCGCTGCTTGTACTTAGTCCAACATCCGTTCGGCCATGGCCGGCCGCGGTCATCTGGTCCCGAGAGAGACATGTCGTCATCAGGGGCATGAAACTGTGGTCGACAAGCACGCGGCCACAGCTCTCAAGCTTTGCTTCTAAGAGTCGTTGCTCGAGGCTGTGGCTGGGAAACTTGACTTGTGTCGGATCTCTGACCTACTTCAGCAGTCTTCAACAAAGTCAAAAGCCAAGCTCCCAACACCTTGACGACGAGCATCTTCAACCATCCTGTATGTCAAAGGCTGATGTTGCTGGATTGTGCACTGTGGTGGATGCTCGGGATAAGCGTGAATATATATGATCTAGAAGCAGTGGTCCTGAAACTTGAAACTACACTGACACGGGTTGGAACGAACAACAACTATGGTAGCAATGTTTCTGGTGCTCACCAAGCAACAATGAACGAAGATTATGAGCTCACTAGGACTAGCAAAAGCCAAAGGAGAAGAGCAACAGCCAGAATCATCTTCTGAAAGGAAACTCCTGAGTATGCAACTGCTCGTGCATGATACCTTATGCTTGACAAGGCCCAGACTTCACAACCTCCACACGGTTGGAAGCGCACTCCAATGCGCGAGATTCACGATCCGCCTAGGCAGGAATCCGTTTCACGACGTGTTTCTACATGCAACCACTTTAAGTGAAGACTTTCAGGATGACAGTCTACATGCAAAGCCCAATGATATACTGCTCGTCACAATGCTCAGGCCCATGATAGTTAACCATCTCCGCCACACTGATGAACACAACCGAAAGGGCGGCAATAGTAACCCTAGGAATAGCAGCCGTAGCCAGAGGTCCATGTCAGCAGAAACCAACATGTAAACTTCAATTAACATGAAGATGAGAATGATTTTTCACAGCAACCATGCTCCTGATAACTGTTAAAAGAGTGCCAATGGTTGCAGTAACAGAAGCCTGTAGACAACGTCACTGCTGATGGCAATCGGAGTAGGCCAAGAAGACGAGGGACAGCAACAGCAAAATTGTCGGTACCTAGTAAAAGTATCCTCGTGGTCGTAGCGGTGGTCGTACTAGTAGTGCTAGTGGTCTTGCCGACGAAGTCACCACTATGCATAGCGGTGTAGATTTAAACATAGTGATAGCGATAGTGTTGATACTGAGCAATTGACAATAAGTTGCGACATCCCGACAGGGCCCCGAAAATCGAGCGGTCGGGCTTGGGCACTGCCGCCATACAGTCACAGTCTAAAGGCCTGAATATATCCATGTTAAGACTGTTGCTATTACCGAGTGGGGGCAGCATCCAAGGTCGGGCGATCTTCATGAAAAGTCAGAGCCTCAAGTAAGCCTGCTGCGATGTATTTAGGATTGGGAGTCTAAAAGTCTAAGCTTCGGATATAGGGGTTTAGGGTTCTATTGTTCCATGTTTCCCATACGATTCAGGGTTTACGGCTCGAGGCTTGTTTCTGGGTGCTGTCATGAACCTTCTAAACCTGGACTCAAGACGCAGAGTCGATGCCGTTGCCCAAGCGCGAGACCTTCATCTCGTTTGCAAGGCCTGTTACCTCCTCGGGTGTTGGCATGTAGGGGCGGTTCGACTCTTGTCTGCATACCAGGGTTCCCAATGGTAATTTAGATAGGTCAGATAGGTAGTCTGAAGACAGTGACGCTTCCTGTCGGAAATTGGATTGCGATTTTGGTCGGAAGCCATCTCTCGACCTCTGCACCGTCCAGTTCTCGACTGACAAGGAACGAAACTGGCGAAAGGCATGCAAAAGCACAGTTCTTGGTGCACGCTCCACTTCCACACCAAAAAGACAACAAGCTGAAGACTGGATAAACAATGCGTGGCCCAGCCGAAGTCTTGATTCCTGCATCGAAGCTGTCACCAAAACTCCTGCACCTGCAACGAGACAAGTACACTGCAATACCCAGCACTTCATGCAGCGTCGCGAGCCCCTTGCACAGATCCGGGAAGACTTGCAGAACCTATCAATGTTCAGGCTTGGAAGCAAAGGCCTCGTAACCTGACGCCCCAACCGACTGCACCACTAGAGACTGACAACCCTGAGAAGTCCTGCCGAATCTGCCGCGACAGCACAGACCAGTCTGCAGTCTGCCCCTGCCGATTTGCCGCGTGCCACAACCGTGCCCAGGGGTGGCTCAAGCGTCAACAGAGCGACGACTAAAGCATCATCCGTAACCATTGCATGGAAGCTTGGTCTGCTTGGCGCTGCAACCCAACGCCCTGACTGCGACACTCTTGCTTGGGAGATCCTGAATCACTGTCGATGCATTGGCCAGCTCTGACGAAAGCTGGTTCACCTGAGAGAGGAATCTCAAGCACAAAAGGGAGTTCAAGAACTCTTCAGCGCTACACGACTTGCGTGTCATGGGACCTTACGAGATCTTACGAGTGTCTACAGATCGGAGATCCTACTCTGCACAGAGACTTCGCTTTGCTGGTGTCATCTGGAGTTGGAAATCCTTGAATGATCTGAGCGAGCTGGCTGCAGAGTTGCGTGTCACCTGCTCGGCAGTATGAAGCACTGGCACGCTCAGACGGATCAACAGGCGATGGCGAGTGCACCCGTTTACATGCAGTTTCTGTATGTCGTCCTGCTACCTGCGCAATGGCGCAATGCTCATTATGTGCAATTCACATCTTTATCGCTGCTTTCATTACTGTTGCTAGCACTACTGCACTGTTTGCTTCTGTATAAGATTCCATCGGCATTTTTCCATTTGCAAAGGCTTACGGATGATGGTTTCGTTGTGGTCCTGCTGCAGCACGGGATGATCCGTAGCACAACCAATACCAAGAACAGCAGTCGTCGTCGTATAGTAGTAGCCGCAATAGTAGCAGTAGCAGTAACACTAGTACTAGCACTAGAACTAGCACTGGCACTAGCCCCAGCACCAGCACGAGCGCTAGCTAGCACTATCTGCAGTCGTGGTAATAGCAGTCGTAGTGCAGCCACTCTCGCAGTCGCGGCGGGAGTCGCAGTCGCAGCTGCAGTCGCAAATTTTTGCTGTAGTCGTTGCCGCAATCGTAGCAGCAGCGGTTGTTGTCGTCGTAGTCGTGGTGGTGATAGTATAGATGCCGTAGTAGAAGTAGTCGTCGTGGTCTTCATCGTAGTAGCAGCACTAGCAGCAGCAGCAGCAGCAGCAGCAGCAACAACCGCGGTAGTAGTGGTAGTAGTAGTAGTAGTAGTAGTAGTAGTAGTAGTAGTAGCAGTAGCAGTAGCAGTAGCAGTAGCAGTAGCAGTAGCAGTAGCAGTAGCAGTAGCAGTAGCAGTAGCAGTAGCAGTAGCAGTAGTAGTAGTAGTAGTAGCAGCAGGAGTAGGAGTTGGAGTAGGAGTAGGCGCAGTCGTCGTAGTATAGTCGTAGTAGTCGTGGTCGTCGTAGTTGTCGTTGTCGTCGTAGTAGTAGTTGTTGTTGTTGTCGTAGCAGTAGTAAGAAGAAGAGAAAGAGGAGGACGCGTCGAACAAATAGTTGCATTGTCGTCGTCGTCGTCGAAGCAATGACAACGATGCCCGCAGCATGAATGATACTGCCATTGATGATGTCGACGAGGAGCGAACAAAAGTGGCAACACATGCCAACATGCATGACATCAAGATTGAAGCATTCTGATACCAAGTTTAAGACCAGGTATTCGGGGCAGGCTTCGGAAGTCGAGGACATGCACCAGCCTTCTCCATCAGTTCTGCCATCATGTTCTGTCTCCTGTCATTGGCTCTCGGACAGGGGTGTTCGACCTACACAGACTGGAACTTCCACCGTGTCAGGACGAACGCCTACTCAAGCCTGAAGCTGGTGGGATGGTCAAACGATGGAGCCACTTGGCCTCATCGAGTCTTCTTCAAGACCCTTGGCAAGCTGCCTGCGGCCAGGCTGGAGCCGTCTCGAGTGGCTAATTAAGGACTTTATGGGGAAGGCTCTCAGAACTCTACACTTCTGGAGTGCGCTCTCAGCCGGGGACATTGCCGGTCCATGGACAAAGATGACAGCGACGGTGCTTGTTGAGTAAAATGCAGCCACCATCAGCCCAGTCAATCCACTGCCTGTTCTCTGCAAGTGCCTGCTGCAGCTGCTTCCTGCAGTGGTCAATTCAAGGGGTACTCCCCAGCTGGTATTCAATCATAGCCGCTGAGCAGGTGGCTCTTAGGGTAAGCCACTGGTCTATATGGGGCTTGTACATCGCAGAATGTCTTCGACAAAGACGTTCATAAGGATGAGTGGTTGGATGTGGAACTGACCTATGGTGCACGTAGCTGACACTGCCGCGATGTCTGGAGCCAACCTCGCCTGAAAGACCCGCCCCCCTTGCGAAAAGAGTTCAATTTAGTCTTCCAAAATGGTTGTGATTGGCACAAGCACGACGGCACAATCGGTTCCAGTAGTGAAGATAGTAACCAGTGACAAGGAGAACTCGTGTGGAATATCGGGGCATCGGGGATGCCTTTGAGACTCATAGGCAGAGGTGATGTCAGTCTCGAGCCGCTCGAAACGCTCCTCCTGAAGAAAGGGAACTGTTCTTGGGTACTTCGTGGTGTTGGGGGGGCTGGATCCCGCACTGCACGCGTACTGCAAGCATGGCTGCTTCAGTGGGATTAACGTGCTCCCGGTTCCCAGTGATTCCAGCTACATAGCAGGCTTTGTTGGTATTGCCGTCATTACACCCCTGCTTGCTGACATGTACTGCTGATATTGCTGAAATTACCCGGCGCTGCTTTTGATGCTATGTTGTTGTGTACCTTCATTCGCCATGTTGGTCCCCTTGTCCTTGATGAACACGATTTGCAATCAGTTGCTGGTTTGCTGTGACCTGTGACTGGTGTAACCGTGAAAGGCTTAATGTGTTCCTACTACCACCGTCAACTTCATCACCACCACCACCATCAGCACCACCGCCAGCAAAATCATTATCGTCATCGTCATGATCATCTGCTTGAGCAACAGTATGTAACCAAACCCTCCATCGCCCTCTTGTTGTATGAGTTTTTTGGAAGGGACCTGCCTGCCCCTTCACAATCGACACGACGCCTTCCACCTTCGCAGCTCGGAGGAAAGCGAGGGAGGCACCCTCCAGATAGCCCGATGCCACCTTATAATATGATAAAAAACACTCCGTATATTTTTAGGTACACTGGGCTCTCGGGATGGCTAGGGCTTCGGATGCAAACAAGTGGATTCTTTCCGTTTTGGCGCGGGGGACCACTCTGAGGTGGAGAGGCACCTGCACAACATCTTGTCTCCAAACCTACTTGCGCCAAACCTACTTGCGCAACTGGTTACCACTCGCTGTTTAAGAAAATCACCATGTGGGCTGTGCCTAGGCAATACTCTCATGGGCATCTTTCCAGAATTGGCTTTGGAGGTGCTTTGCTTTGAAGTTGGGCTCCAAAAGGGGAACTCAACGTCACGACGCACGACGCCAATGCAAGTGTTTGAATGGCCTGCTTCTCCAGCCGCATGTTGGCAGAGGGGTCGGGCGCCTAGCCGCAAGACAGACTCACACTTGTGATAGCAGAAGCCGGACAGCCGATGCTGCCATCCCTCTTGCTGCCCCTGTTGCGTGTACTCACGCGGGTACATCGGATACGTACTGCTACCGAGCACGATGGACCCGCAGCTTGCACCAGCAGCTCGCACATTCAACAAGAAGCGGACACGACCAGAAGGGGCAAGAGAATACAATGACCTCGAAGTCGGCGGTGGCCATGCTGCCGGTATACTACTACCAGACTACCAGCAGACGCTCGTGACCGGCCTTGAGTGAGCCTTTCAGAGCTGCGGCCTGCCGCCGCCTGGGTACACGCAACACCGGGAGCTCTGCGAGAGCCCATGAAGGTCAGGGGATGGTCACGGGTCTCGGGGGGATCTTCATGCTGAAAACGCCACATCCAAGTCCAGATTCTCGCGACTGGATGACAGTCAAAGAGCATTCAGAATATAAGAACCACTTTCTGACCTGGACATACCGTGAAGCAAACAGTACTTGACATGTTGATGCACGAGTGCACCATACTTCGACTGGTCCTAGCGTCCTACCTGCATGGTCTCGAAGGTGGCAAGTCTGCCGCAAAGCTTCGTAGCGCGTTCGCTAACATGCTGCGATTGTCACTGCTTCTACGCTGCATCGGTTGCTACAGGTCAATAGGCCGGCAAACACAGCACGGCCGCTTTCAAGAAAATTCGAGATGTCTCCCAGGGGTCGCGAACTGCGGAGGGACAGGCCCCTCATCTGTCCCGACTGGGAGCCCCTGGCTGCTCTGTTTGGAGCCTCTGCGCCTCCGCCTGCAGGTCTTGCAGGGTGCCCCGCCTCAGAGGTGCGATGCGGACCACCGCCCTGCGCTGCTTGAAAAACTAGCCTTCGAAGCACCAGCAGTCCTCACCGCTTCAGCTGAGATGCCAGTCGAACATACCACGTAATGCACAATACCGTCCAGAACTGCTTGCCAGGATGCAACTCCTCCGTTTGCACTTTCTGCCTCGCATGCTGCGAAGAAAGATCCTCCGGGGCGCCGATGGTCCATGCGAGACCATGCAAAGTTTCGAGCGAACAGAACAATTTCCAATTGTCGAAGCCTGCTGGGTTGTTCAACACACCCCTGGCGTCAGTCCTGTCTGGTATTCGACACATCACTTCGCATCTCTTGCACCTGCAGCGTCTCGGCAAACTCAAACGACCCTCCAAAGTGAGAAGAAGGGCAACGACTGCAATGATCATGGTGGCGACCGCAATACCAACCAGAATAATCTTCAGGATCGGTCTGCACATGACGATGGTAAAAAAAAACTGCCAACAAGCCTCAAACAAGTAGGGTAGCAGCGATATCAGACATTATATGTGAGAACAGGCGCTACTAGTCTAACAATCTGGCAAAGTCGAACTCATACAGGAAGAAAAAGACCACCACAAACAGCAGCAACTACAACAGTAATGGCTTAAGTGTGGTGACGTTGCCTGGAAAGCAGTTAGCTGAAGCAGGGCCTGTTGCCCCGCGAAGGGAACGAGAAAGACTTAAAGACTCAACTCCAGAGTCAACTCCCTTCTGTTTTCCTGACATTCGCGTAACAGCAAGTCCAGTGTATTGCACTACGAACTTCACAACTCAGGCGTTAAACTTACGGAAGGGAGACCACACAAAAGTAATTAGGTGAACCCTCAAGGATACGTTTTTTTGCTGGCTTATTTGTTTCACTGTAAGGCTGCAAACAAGCAGCTACTCCGCATGTCGGCTGAAATTGCACAAAGGCCCAGAATCGAACGGCTTGCCTGGCGTTGGAGGCGATCTCGCTCGGCAGCAAGGCCCCTGAGCCGAGACTTCTGATCTGCATGACCGAATTCTGGACGTTACACGGTCGAGACTCTTAGCAGAATCGAATGTCGTGAGCGTTGCCAACAGGTTTCAGCAAGTATGGCACAGACATCTATACATATATATATATATATATATATGCATATATATATATATATATGCGCTAGCTCTTTAAGTCAGTGTCGACAGAGCCGACGTGAGCAAGCACACACAAACCGGAAGGTGATGGATGCATGCCACCACAAGCGGTTTTGCATGTTACGTGTACCGAACAGGAGCGTTGTGCTAACATGTAACATAATGGTACGCAACACGGACGAACACACCATAAATGACTGAATCGACAACGCACTCAGCAAGAGCATAAATGAGCCAGGCACGGACTGTTAACGGCACAGGATTTCAACCATACATTCATATATCCCCACGGACTGACGGACACTTCTGACTGAGATCCACGTCAAGCATTCATGCGTGTAGCTACACCACACTCAAGCAGGGCACGGAACACAGCAGCTCGCTTGAAAACTACGCCCTCTGTGTGCATTTAGCACAATCTCCAGAATCGCGTGCACAGGTAAGGCTAGGAGTAATTTCTGTTCATGCCTCAGCGAATCGCGAGCGGACCCGCTGGTGGCCGCTATGCTGTCGTCCCCCAGAGTCGCAGGCTTTTCCTGAAAGCATGGAGTCAGCCCGCTAAAATAGTGATAATGGAGTTCTGATTTTCACGCGGGCGCCTACAGCTGAAAGCCTGACTCCTGATTAAACCTTGAAATTCCGTGCAGTTCCGATTTCTGAGAGCCGTGTCCTTGAAGCTTGAGGTCTTAGCGCTAGGAGCTAAGCATTTGAAGTTTAGGGAGTAATGTGGGGTAACAACACAAACCTCCTCGGTGAGTGTCGTCAAGGGATCGATGTTGCAATCCTCTTTCAGGCGAGGGGTTTAGTAATCAGGGGTCTGCGTTTCTTGCAGTAAGGCAGAATGGTCCGACGTCACACAAACCATAACAAGCCGCCTGCCAGTGCTAGCAGAGCTCGAATATGTTGCTGCTAGTGGTTCCCGTCACAGAGAAGCTGGGAGCCTTGAAAGCTTGACAGACTCGGAGTCCGAAGGTCTGTCCTACGCCATGCCCGGCTTAGCCTAGAACCCCTCAGCCTAGAACCCCCTGCGCCTGAACCTGCTGGCGCCAGGGACGGGCTTTGGTCGAGTTCGCGGTAAGCGGCTCGACTGCACAATAGAGCATTTTGATCACCGGCTTGATGGCATTGGGTCTAACGGCATACGTTCGAGTCTTGAGCGGTCTGCTTCGGATAGCTTCAGAGCTCTACACCATCCATCAGAAACAGCATCCGAAAGGCATGGCTTCACTCGGCCATCTGTTCGACCTTCCCAAGACCAAGCTTGCCCCTCAGCCACATTTAGTGCCTCCAACCTTCCCTTCTCCAAACCCTGCACAGTACAGTAGTTGAAATCCCGAAGCCTGAAAGCAGAAAACTTCAGCTGAAGGGGACTCAAAGCTTCGGGTCGCCACCTTGCCACTGTCGCTGCGGGCTCTGCGATGTTTCCGAGGCCTCTGACCTTGCGCCCTGAGATCAGTGACGTTGGCTACAGCGACTCCTGCCCCACTGCGCGAACAGCCGGGATGAAGGCTTCAGGAGTGCTCAGTCACTGCAACATTGGCTGAGGGAGTTTCGAACCAAATGAGACAGAAAGCCCGAGTGGCACATACGCAGAAAGAATTTAGGGCAACGAAGTCTGCATAGCCAGGACCCTCCGTAAGGTCCATGAGGCAGGATCCTGTGTTCTCGCATGTTCTCGCCGAGCCCTAAGACGGATGAGAAACCTCGGCTCCCGGCTATTTGCTGCGCACGGCGGTATGCCGTTGGCTCCACCTGGTTGTCCTACTGGACGAGCCAGTAGGAAGGGACTCTTCTACTGCAGTTGCTCCTCCTCGTCCTCGGCCTCCTCCTTCTCCTACAACAACTACTGCTACAACAACTCTACCACTGAAGCAGAACACATGTACGAATTGCGATGAATGTGCCGATAACTCACCACGAGAGAAGGCCGTTCGGGGTGGCAGATTTGCTCAGAATCCGGCGAGGGTGACGCCGTTATTCCTCAGAATGATTGCTTATCTCAACATGTCCAGTCCATCAGCTCAGATCTGCGCCATGACTTGAAGTCACGGATGTCGTAAGCTCCAATCCAGAGCATGGTTCGAGCGGCTGAGAACGGCTAGTGCCGACGATAGCTGCGCTGATAGGGATGAGGCCGTGGCGGACGCGTTCCCACTCCAAAAGAAACCTGGCACCATCACATTGACATGAACTGAAATGAATCAGCAGGGCGTACTTGTTGTTCAGTGCTTCTGAAAGCCAACTTCGCCGTCACGTCGAAAAGGGATGCGAATTGAAGGCTTATCTGTGCTCGGGGCAGCAACCTCGGGTGCTCGCGCGAAGGAACAAACCAAACTGAAAGAGCATTTGCCCCCGCAGGCCTCCACAGGCTCACGCTTCTCCTTGGCATAGTGCGCTGCGTGGTACTCGTGATTACGTGTCTATGTGGTTGAAGTGCTGAAGTCTAGTCTAAAGTCTGGTCTGTACTGTACGAGCTTGAGGCCAGTTGAGCCGTAAGTCTGGCAGTAAAGGCACCGGATTCTGATGTAAATTGGAGATAGCACTCCTCGATTCGAATACGTTTCCGATGACCTGACCAAAGTGTTTTTGTATCTTTGCCACTTGGAACTACCAATTGCTGCTGTTACCTCCCCGAGCCTCCAGCAATTTGGTTGATTTTTTACATGAGCATTGCTTTCATGTGAAGATGACCAAGACTTGTGCCTCGACCCTTAGTTACCACGTCTGACAGGACCACGGTCAAAACCCCGTCAAATCCTTTCACCATGGGCAATATGGTATACGGCAAATAAAATAATGTATAGTATATAATTTTTTTTTGTATAATATCTCAATTAACGCATATCATATATCATATATGTAAATCATACGTAACATTTTCTGGGCCAAAGTCCGTTGCGTACTTAGGCAGAAAAAGTAAAACCGTGGGCACGAGGCGTGGCTTAAAATTGGCGGGTTCGGGCTTCCGAGTATATATCATATAGAACATATGATATACGATATGTAATACATTGTATACCATATATCATCTGTCATATATCCAATATCAAATATAATACATCACATGTCATCAACTATAATATCTGAGTATCCCATATCATATACGTTATGTCAAATAGAATACATCGTATATCATATATCAACTATAAGATATCATATATCATATGAATGTAATATATCATATACCATATGTCATATATCATACAGCATATATCAACTACAACCTATCATATACCAATTTCGTATATCAAAGTTCATACACAATACGTACTAAATATCCTTTTTATATATCATGTAATGCAAAAATCGCTGTTCGCTGTTCAAGGCACAATGTCCGGGTTGGGCGCAGTCTAAAACAAAAGCACCTAATTAAACGTGAAACTGGACAATAAACTCTCGCATGGGCAGCTATCGATGGCTGTCAGACCGGACTTCGTTGAGGAGTAAGGCGCAATGCCTCGCCGAGCCGCAAGTCCAAGACACAGCGAATCCTGGAAGATCAAAGTGGCCAGGCTGCCCCGGAGCAACAAACAGAGCTCTCCCCTGATCAGTTCTGAATAGTCTCAAGTCCCCTTCAAAGACAGGAAAAGACTTGACAGGAAACGTTGCGGCGGACTTCAAAGTCCAACACATGAGAAGATCGAAAGCTGCCTGCTGACACTTTCCCGACTCCACTGCGAGAAATCAACCGAGAAGAGCCCTTCCCAAACCTTTCGGAACATCCAGCTCAGCCAGTTTGCGACCTTACTTTTTGCAATGCAGACACCAACCTGGGCAGGCGCAGCAAGCCCTCAACGAACAAGTTGCCAAACAGAAGCCACGGAATCACAAGCTCCGCATCTTTAAAAGTTGAGACGTCAGGGACACTGTCGGTGGGACTCGGCACAAGCCACGCAACCCCGTCTACTTCCACTAGCCTACGGGAAATAATTCCATGCCAAGCCAGCCAGAGCAAGTCTTGCTCCTGATCAGCCTCAGCCGGCAGGCCAAGACGACTGTGCCACTCGAGGGCTGTGGCTCTCAGCCTTGTCTTTTGGTCGTCTGCATGGGGAAGGCAGACCAGAGCCCGGATTTGGAAGGGCTAACATGACCAAATCCGGGCTGAGCCTGAATGCTCCACTTCCTGAGCCGGACCATGGATGGACTGATGAGCCCTCCTTTGCAGGCCCAGAAGATGTGCATTCCCGTGCGATTGATGGGGTTTTCCTCGCTACAGAGTGCCAACTTCCAGCTGCCTTCAGAGTTGAGCTGGTTCTACTTCTCTCGAGTGCTTCGGGTGTTTTCGGATGATCAAATCCTTCAGCCGCTCCCGGGACGTGGG